CCACTTTCATCATCACCACCACCACTACCACCACCACCACCATCATCACCACCATCCCCATCCCCACCACCATCCCCATCACCACCACCATCCCCATCATCACCACCATCCCCATCACCATCATCAGCACCATCCCTATCATCACCATCTTCATCATCACCATCACCAGCACTATCACCACCACCATCACCACCATCCCCATCACTACCACCATCACCATCATCACCACCATCCCCATCACCACCACCATCACCACCATCCCCATCACCACCATCCCCATCACCACCACCATCCCCATCACCACCACCATCCCCATCACCACCATCCCCATCACCACCATCCCCATCATCAGCACCACCCCCATCACCACCACCATCATCACCACCATCAAAACCACCATCCCCTTCACCATCACCACCACCATCCCCATCACCACCATCCCCATCATCACCACCATCCCCATCACCACCACCATCCCCATCACCACCACCATCCCCATCACCACCACCATCATCACCACCATCCCCATCACCATCCCCATCACCACCACCATCATCACCATCCCCATCACCACCATCCCCATCACCACCACCATCCCCATCACCACCACCATCATCACCACCATCCCCATCACCACCACCATCCCCATCACCACCACCATCATCACCATCCCCATCACCATCCCCATCACCACCACCATCATCACCATCCCCATCACCACCATCCCCATCACCACCACCATCCCCATCACCACCACCATCATCACCACCATCCCCATCACCACCACCATCATCACCACCATCCCCATCACCACCACCATCAAAACCACTATCCCCTTCACCACCACCATCACCACCACCATCATCACCACCACCACCATCACCACCATCAACATCACCATCATCATCACCATCACCACCACCATCACCACCACCATCATCACCATCACCACCACCACCATCAACATCATCATCACCACCACCATCATCACCATCACTACCACCATCATCACCACCACCTCCACCACCATCACCGCCACCACCATCACCACCACCACTATCACCACCACCTTCATCATCACCACCACCACTATCACCATCATCACCACCATCACCACTATCACCATCATCGCCACCATCATCACCACTTTCATCATCACCACCACCACTACCACCACCACCACCATCATCACCACCATCCCCATCCCCACCACCATCCCCATCACCACCACCATCCCCATCATCACCACCATCCCCATCACCATCATCAGCACCATCCCTATCATCACCATCTTCATCATCACCATCACCAGCACTATCACCACCACCATCACCACCATCCCCATCACTACCACCATCATCACCACCATCCCCATCACGACCACCATCATCACCATCCCCATCACCACCATCCCCATCACCACCACCATCCCCATCACCACCACCATCCCCATCACCACCATCCCCATCACCACCATCCCCATCATCAGCACCACCCCCATCACCACCACCATCATCACCACCATCAAAACCACCATCACCATCATCAGCACCATCCCCATCACCACCACCATCCCCATCACCACCACCATCATCACCACCATCCCCATCACCATCCCCATCACCACCACCATCATCACCATCCCCATCACCATCGTCCCCATCACCACCACCATCCCAATCACCACCACCATCATCACCACCCCATCCCCATCACCACCACCATCCCCATCACACCACCACCATCATCACCAATCCCCATCACCACCATCCCCATCACCACCACCATCCAAATCACCACCACCATCATCACCACCATCCCCATAACCACCACCATCATCACCACCATCACCCATCACCACCACCATCCCATCACCACCACCATCCAACCACTATCCCCTTCACCACCACCATCATCACCACCATCCCACACCACCACCATCCCTTCACCACACCATCCCATCACCACCACCATCCCCATCATCAGCACCATCCCATCACCACCATCATCACCATCCCATCACCACCATCACCATCCACCATCATCACCACCATCCCATCACCACCACCATCCATCACCACACCATTCCCCATCAGCCACCACCATCCCATCACCAACACCATCCCCATCATCCCACCACCATCCCCATCACCACCACCATCCCATCACCATCATCGAGCACTAATCCTTCATCACCACCATACCACATCACCATAGCACCACCTGTCAGCAGCACCATCACCACCACATCACAGCACCACCATCCCCAGCACCACCACCCGCACAGCAGCCCAGCACCACCACCACACCACCAGTCCCCAGGCACACAACGCCCAGCACACCATCCCAATCACCACCACCATGCCCAGCACCACCACCATCCACCACCAGCCCCATCACCACCACACACATCACCACCACCAGCATCACAGCCCATGCACCACAGCCCAACCACCACCACACCCACCAGCGCCAGCACACCACCATCACCACCAGCCCTCATCACCACACCAAGCCCCAGCACCACCACCAGCCCCAGCACCAGCATCACCAACTTCATGCATCACCAGTCACCAGCACTATCACACCACAAACCACCCTCACAACCATCCCCAGGCACCACCAGCACCGCAGCCCCAGCACACTACACCATCACATCCCCATCATCACCACCATCCCCATCACCACCAACCATCACCACCAAGCCCCATCACCACCATCCCAGCACCATCCCCATCATCACCACCATCCCCATCCACCACCATCACACCACCATCCCCATCACCACCATCCCCATCACCACCACCATCCCCCATCTACCACCACCATCATCACCACCACCTCATCACCACCATCCCCATCACCACCACCATCATCAGCACAATCACCATCACCATCCACCATCAACCACCACCATCCCCATCATCACCACCACCATCGCCATCACCATCCACCCATCCCCATCACCACCACATCACCCATCACCACCACCATCACCACCACCATCCCCATCACCACCACCATCCATCATCACCACCACCATCACCATCCCATCACCACCACCATCCCCATCACCACCACCATCCCATCACCACCACCATCACCACCATCCCCATCACCACCACCATCCCCATCACCACCACCATTCAATCACCACCATACCCATCACCACCACCCCCACCAACCACCATCACCACCATCCCCATCAACCACCACCACCATCCAACACCATCCCCATCACCACCACCATCCCCATCACCACACCACCTCCCCATCACCACCACCATCCATCACCACCACCATCACCACCACCATCACCACCAACATCCCATCACCACCACCATCCCCATCACCACACCATCCATCACCACCACCATCATCACCACCAACCCCATCACCACCACCATCCCATCACCACCACCATCACCACCACCAACCCCATCACCACCACCAGCCCATCACCACCATCACCACCACCATCCCCATCACCCCACACCACCACCATAATCACCACCATCTCCATCACCACCACCATCCCCATCACCATCTCCATCACCACCACCATCCCCATCACCATCTCCATCACCACCACCATCCCCATCACCATCTCCATCACCACCACCATCCCCATCACCACCACCATCATCACCACCATCCCCATCACCACCACCATCCCCATCACCACCACCACCATCACCACCACCATCACCACCACCATCCCCATCACCACCACCATCCCCATCACCACCACCATCCCCATCACCACCACCACCATCACCACCACCATCACCACCACCATCCCCATCACCACCACCATCCCCATCACCACCACCACCATCACCACCACCATCACCACCACCATCCCCATCACCACCATCACCATCACCACCACCATCCCCATCACCACCACCATCACCACCACCATCCCCATCACCACCACCATCATCACCACCATCACCATCACCACCACCATCCCCATCACCACCACCATCAACCACCACCATCCCCATCATCCACCACCACCACCCATCACCACCACCATCCCCATCACCACCACCACCCATCACCACCACCACCATCACCACCACCATCACCACACCACCACCATCATCACACCACCACCACCACCATCACCCAGCACCATCCACATCACCATCACCACCACCATCACCACCACCACCATCATCACCATCACCACCACCAACCACCATCACCACCACCATCATCACCACCACCATCACCACCATCACCATCACCACCATCATCAACCACCACCCCATCACCACCACCATCACCACCAACACCCCATCACCACATCACCACCATCACCACCACCACATCACCACCACCATCCCACCATCATCCACCACCATCATCACCACCACCATCATCACCACCACCATCACACCATCAGACATCACCATCCTCATCACATCACCACCACCATCACCCACCACCATCACCACCATCACCACCACCACCATCACATCATCACCACCACCACCATCCACCACCACCATCACCACCACCATCCTCACCACCACCATCATCACCACCACCACCTCATCACCGCCACCATCATCAGCACCATCACCATCATCACCACCATCCCCACATCAGCACCATCCCCTGCACCACCACCTAGTCCCCCAGCACACTCACCACCATCACCACCACCATCACACCACCATCACCATCACCACCATCCCCAGCACCACCACCATCATCACACAATCCCCATCACCACCACCATCCCCACTCCATCATCAGCACCATTCCACCTCACCACCACCATCCATCACCACCACCATCCCCATCACCACCACCATCATCAACCACCATCCCCAGCACATCACCAACCACCATCACCCAGCATCAGCCCAGCCCATCATCAGCACCCATCCCAGCAACACTCACCACATCACCCACCAGCCCCATCACCACCAATCCCAGTAATCAGCACAATCACCCATCACCACCACATCCCCATCACCACCACCATGCACCATCACCACCACCATCAGCACCACCATCCCATCACCACCACCATTCACCACCACAGCACCATCATCAGCACCATCCCCATCATCAGCACCATCTCCCTATCATCCACCATCTTCATCATCACCATCCACCAGCACTATCACCACCACCATCCCCATCCATCCAGCACTAATCACCTATCATCCACCACCATCCCCATCACCGACCACCATCATCACCACCATCCCCATCACACCACCATCCCCATCACACCACCACCATCCCCATCCCACCAATCCCCTCATCACCACCATCCACACCACCAATCCCCATCACCACCACATCCCATCTCACCATCCATCCATCACCACACCCCCATCACCACCACCATCCCATCCACCACCATCCTCATCACCACCACCATCCCCATTCATCAGCCACCATCCCCATCACCACCACCCATCCCCATCACCACCACCATTCATCCCACCACCATCCCCATCACCATCCACCATCCCATCACCCACCACCATCCCATCACACATCCCCATCATCACCACCATTCCCATCACCACCACCATCCCACATCACCACCACCATCATCAGCACATCCCCATCACCCCACCATCATCACCACACCATCACCACATCCCCATCACCACCACCATCACCACCACCATCCTCAATCACCACCACCATCACCTACCACCATCCCCATCACACCATCCCCATCCCCAACACCACCCCATCACCACCACCACCATCCCCATAACCACCACCATCCCCATCACCACCACCATCACCACCACCATCCCCATCACCACCACCATCATCAGCACAATCCCCATAAACACCACCATCCCCTATCACCACCACCATCATCACCACCATCCCCATCACCACCACCACCACCATCCCCATCACCACCACCATCCCCATCACCACAACCATCACCACCACAATCCCCATCACCACCACCATCCCCATTCACCACCAACCATCCCCATCACCACCACCATCATCACCACCACCATCACCACCATCCCCATCACCACCATCCCCATCATCAGCACAATCCCCATCACCACCACCATCACTACCACCATCCCCATCATCAGCACAATCCCCATCACCACCACCATCCCCATCACCACCATCCCCATCACCACCACCATCATCACCACCATCCCCATCACCACACCATCATCACCACCATCCCCATCACCACCACCATCCCCATCACCACCACCATCAAAACCACTATCCCCTTCACCACCACCATCATCACCACCATCCCCATCACCACCACCATTCCCTTCACCACCACCATCCCCATCACCACCACCATCCCCATCATCAGCACCATCCCCATCACCACCATCATCACCACCATCCCCATCACCACCACCATCATCACCACCATCCCCATCACACCACATTCCCGTTCACACCACCATCCCCATCACCACCACCAGTCCCGGCACCACACCTCCCCAGCACCACCACCATCCCCATCATCAGCACCAGCCCCATCACCACCACGATCACCACATCCCCAGCACACCACCATGCAGCAGCACCAGCCCCAGCACCACCACAGCAGCACCACCACCAGCACCACCAGCCCCAGCACCACCACCGAGCACCACCACCAGCCTCAGCACCACCCACCAGCCACCACCACCAGCCCCAGCACCACCAGCCCCACACCAACACCAGCCCCAGCAACACACCACCAGCCCAGAACCACCACCAGCCCCAGCACCACCCACTCAGCACCCCACCAGCCCCATCACCACCACCAGCAGCAGCACACCCACAGCAACAACCAAATCCCCATCACACCACCATCATCACCACAAGTCCCCATCACCACCACCACCACCAGCCCCATCACCACCCCGTCCCCATCACACCACATCACCAACCACCCTCCCCATCAACCACCACCATGCACCATCACCCCCACATCCCCATCACCACCACATCATCACAACACATCAACCACCAGACCACATCACCACCATCCAATCACCACCACCATCCCCAGCTACCACCACCATGTCAGCACCACCATCCCCATCACACCACCACCACCATCCCCATCACCCACCACACCATCCCCATCACCACCACCATCCCCAATCACCACCACCATCCCCATCACCACCACCATCCCAATCACCACCACCATCCCATCACCACCACCATCCCCATCACCACCATCACCATCATCACCACCATCCCCATCATCACCACCATCCCCATCATCACCATCATCACCACCATCACCATCATCACCACCATCCCCATCATCACCACCATCCCCATCATCACCACCATCCCCATCACACCACACCATCCACCCCATACACCACCATCCCATCACCACCACCATCCCCATCACCACCACCATCATCACACCATCCCCATCACCACCATCCCCATCACCACCACCATCCCATCACCACCACCATCCCCATCACCACCACCATCCCCATCACCACACCATCCCCATCACCACCACCATCATCACCACCATCATCACCACCATCCCCATCACCACCACCATCCCCATCACCACCACCATCATCACCACCACCATCACCACCACCATCCCCATCACCACCATCCCCATCACCAACACCATCCCCATCACCACTCACCTAATCATCACCACCACATCACCACCACCAGTCCCCATCATACCACCACATCCCCATAACCACCACCATCACCACCACCATCCCCATCACCCCACCATCCCCATCACCCACCATCACCACCACCATCACCACCACCATCCCAATCACCACCACCATAATCACCACCATCCCCATACCACCACCATCCCCATCACCACACCATCAACACACCACCATCCCCATCACCACCACCATCCCCATCACCACCACCATCCCCATCAAAACACCACCACCATCACCACCACCATACCACCACCATATCCCCATCACCACCACCATTCCCCATCACCACACACACCACCATCACCACCACCATCAACACCACCAGACCCATCACCACACCATCCCATCACCACCACCATCCCCACACCACCACCACATCACCACCACCAGCACCACCACCAATCCCCATCACCACCAACCATCCCCATCACCACCACACATCACCACCACCATCACCACACCTATCCCCATCACCTACCACATAACCCACCACCATCCCATCACCACCACAGCACCACCCACAATCCCCATCATCACCCCCACCATAATCACCACCATCCCCATCACCACCACCAATCCCCATCACCACCACCATCACCACCACATCCCCATCACCACCACCATCCCCATCACCACCACCCTCCACATCACCACCACACCATCACCACCACCATCACCACCACCATCCCCTATCACACCACCATCCCCATCACCACCACCACCATCACCACCACCACACCACCACCTACCATCACCACCACCTCCCCATCACCACACCATCCCATCACCACCACAACATCACCACCACCACACCACCACCATACCCACACCACCACCATCACCATCACACCACCATCCCCATCAACCACACCACCACCATAACACCACCATCCCCACCACCATCCCCATCACCACCACCATCCCAATCACCACCACCAACATCACCATCACACCAATCACCACCACCACCATCATCCCAAGAGAAAAATAAAAAAAAAAAAAAAAAAAAAAAAAAAAAAATAAATTATAAAAACACCTAAGCATAAACACCACCATCAACATTACCACCATCTCACAACCATCAACCACCACCCCATCATCTCCACCCACCGAACCATCAACCACCACCACCTCATCACCACCACATCATCACCACCAACACCAACCCCGCCACCTACCATCATCATCACCACCATCATCAATCAACCACCACCATCCCACCCCCATCATCACCACCATCACCACCACCACCCCATCACCACCACCATCACCACACCAATCCACCACCACCACCACATCACCACCCCCAACATCACCACCACCATCATCACCATCACCACCAACTCAGACCACCCACAACCACCATCAAACACCGGACCATCCCCATCACCACCAACCATCCCATCACCACCACCATCCCCATCACACCACCACCATCACCACCCCATCCCCATCACCACCAACCACCATCACACCACCACCATCACCCCACCATCCCATCACCACCACCAATACCACACCACCATCACCACCACCATCCCATCACCACCACCATCTCATCACCACCACCATCCCATCATCAGCACAATCCCCATCACCACCACCATCCCCATCACCACCACCATCATCACCACCATCCCCATCACCACCACCATCCCCATCACCACCACCATCCCCATCACCATCCCCATCATCACCACCATCCCCATCACCATCTCCATCACCACCACCATCCAGCACCATCCCCCATCAACTCACCACCATCCCCATCACCACCAACATCCCCCATCACCACCACCATCACCACCACCATCCCCATCACCACCACCATCCCCATCACAGCACATCCCCATCCCCATCACCACCACCATCCCCATCATCAGCACAATCCCCATCACCACCACCATCCCCATCATCAGCACAATCCCCATCACCACCACCATCATCACCACCATCCCCATCACCACCACCATCACCACCACCATCCCCATCACCACCATCCCCATCACCACCACCATCACCACCACCATAATCACCACCATCCCCATCACCACCACCATCCCCATCACCACCATCACCACCACCATCACCACCACCATCCCCATCACCACCACCATCCCCATCACCACCACCATCCCCATCACCACCACCATCCCCATCACCACCACCACCATCACCACCACCATCACCACCACCATCCCCATCACCACCATCATCATCAGCACCATGGATGGCTTCCCGGCCCGTGGTCTGCCTTGCTTCGGGTCATGTAATCCCATTGACATGAAGTGTTGCATGAAGTAATCATTTTCCGATTTCTGCGCAACTTTTGACAAGCAATTCTGCCTCGATTGACGCGGTCGAAGGAAGGCTAAGTGAATGTAAGCGAATGTAGTGTATGTGAGTGTGTGTGTGTGTGTAGATTGAGGGAGGGTGAGACAGAAACTCACAGATGCATGCATACGCACCCCCCTCACTCACACACATACACACACCATATACATACACGCAAACACGCACACACATATTCATATTATGAATATAAATAAACGCACACACACACACACACACACACACACACACACACACACACACACACACACACATATATATATATATATATATATATATATATATATATATATATATGTATATGTTTGTGTGTGTGTATGTGTGTGTGTGTGTGTGTGTGTGTTGACATACGTACATACATACATACATATATGTGTATGTGTGTGTGTGTGTTTATGTATGTGTGTGTTTATGTGTAAGTGTGTGTGTTTGAGTACATATATATGTATGTATATGTGTGTATACACATGCACACACACACCAGCTTACCGATAAAAGCGAAATGATTATTAATATGTTTTCTGTACTTTTTTTCCAAATTGATAATGTTAATGACGATTTGCGCGCCAGTGAATGCCCGCCTTAATGCATGGAGCCACATATTATTACCATTAAATACCGCGGGATTGCCAATGATCAAACTTAGTAATTAAAAGCCGCTTTGGCAATCATTATTCCACTCAACCATTTTTTCGCTGCTCTTTCTCTGGTCTAATTTTTCCGACTACTGAATTTAACGTCTAATTGGTGGTTGGTTAATTAGGCGCGTGTGGCGGTCATATGCCTGTCTGCCTGTCTGTCTGTCTGTCTGTCTGTTCCCTTTTTCCTTATTTTCCAAGTAGGAGAATGATTCGCAGGGAGTACAGAGAGGCACAGTTAAAGGAGTAACAAAGAGGTGTTCCAAAATTAAAATTGTTGAGAACCATTTTATTCATATCACTTTACAGGATTGGTTACAATTTAATTACTTTGGACCAAAAACAGTCAGAGTGACAGAAATAAATGGTGTTTTTTCGTATGTTTTGTCCTTTACGCTTCTCTTTCCATGTTATTCGTTTAATAAAACATTTTCCCCTAGCAATGCAGCCGTTTTTATCACTTTGAAGCCGACTTAAGAGAAATACAGCAGGTCCGACATTGGCACCAAAAACTTCAGCAATATGATCATGCCTTTGCCTGGGCGTGTTAATGGACTTCATAAACAGAGGACTGGGAATTCTGCCCCGCCCCTCCCCACATTCCCGCCCTTACCCACACTCCGCCCTCTCCACGCCCCCGCCATGCCTCTTTTTCCGAAATCCATGTCGGGGACTCTGCGGAACACTGAGCGGCAGTGAAAGTCTTGAACTAAGAGTCAATACATATACTTAATGTAATCTACAGAATGAGTTTCTTTATATCAACCGTAATGTTTCCTTTTTACAAGGAAATCTGGGAACTAACTAAGAAAAATGCAACCGTCTCGGCTGGGCATTCGTTGGTTGTCTTAATGGCAAGGGTTGCGTTTTCGAATCTTGCATGTCCTTGTGATGAATCAGTGACGCCTCCGCCACAGCGCCCCCAGCCATGTCCTCGGCCTCTGGTTCCCGAGGCAATTTACTTGCTTTCCCTTATCAGGCCCCGTGTCCCTCATCTCAGCTCGACGCGATGGCGAAACAGAAGCCAGTGCTTGCGACGACAGGGATTGCGAATACCTCTGATGGTGATTTATGTTTAGAAGAACACTTTGAGGCTTTGTTCACCTCAACATTTTTCGTCGAGTTTTGTAGAACCTCGCAGATAGAGCAGCTTTCTCTTGAGAGAGACCTGCTTTGATCCCTGTGGGAAGTTCGATTCCAATATCTCTTTGGCATCAACAGTCCTTTAAAGACAGGGGTCTTTTAACATCCTCTGTAGAAATGGTATTGTTACTTGAAAGGGAAATAGATCGGTGAGATTAGTTGTACAGTATGTAAGTCAGATTAGGCAAAGTTTCAGTTGTTTAGTTAATTATAGAGAAAAACAAACGTATAGGTTAGCAAAGGGAAAGATACACAGATCGGTGCACACTCACACAGGTCTGCGTGTGCACTTGCGTTGCACACGCAGAGCAGCTCCGAGCGATGAGCATCTCCGAGCGAGGCGTCGCACAGAATGCCAGCGAGATTTGTGCCTCGTCGCCCGCGGGAGCCAAGGGCAACAGGGCGCGCTTTCGTATCAAACTGATAAGCGAGTGAATCTGGCAAAACGCGTTGTTGTAATAAAGCGGAACGGCAGACGAACTGGGTGTGCGGAGCGTGCAGAGTGGTTCAATTTTGTCCGTGTTCTTTTAGAGCGGTTAGCCGATATTTTGTTGCTTTGTACAAACGGTGCCATTGTATTCCAGTATCGATCATCATCCTGGAAACTAATTAAGAGTCTCGCTGTTGATAAAAGCCTTGGCGGAGGAGCAGGGGACAAAAGCACATCGCAAACTGA